TTTCTTTTGCATTTCGGTTCAGCACCACTTCACGTGGACCGTGATGTTTAAGAATTATTGGGCTGGGTGAGGGTCATCTTTTCTCGTTAAATTGTCATCTAGGCACTTATTAATAGTTTAACAGTTCAGGTGCATTCCAGTACACAAAGTGCCAGTGCAGTGTGTTTAGAAATAGTACTGGTTTCTTTTGAGTCAAAGACTGTCCCTTTTTATTGTGAGATTTTTTAAGAACGCATGATGGGGTACCGTTCACTTGCTGCAGCCTGGCCTTCTGACACACACGCACTGTGGACTTTTGCCTCCTTTCTGATAGCTTGGCAGTGACATTTAGAATGTAACTGTCCTGCTCATTGGGGATGGGGACAGGTTTTAAGATACCCATTAGAGATGTGGACCACCCCTACTTTCTCCTCCATAGAACTCCCCAGTAACAAAGCCTTGATGATGTACACCGTTCAGACTTTTGGTTGAAATACCTTCCTCCTAGGTTCCTAGCCGGTAGGTCTTGTGTAGGACCTAACGCGAGCGGATGCTGGAGTGTGTGTGGGCAGAGATGTGTTTAAACGAAGCGTTCCTTCTCTCTAGTACATTTGCTTTCGTGGTAGAAAGCGGTTTTGAGAAACACTGCTTTCCATCCAGGAGAGACAGGAACCTGCAGGAAGGATGAATGGTGAACTCCTCCTAGGAGAGAAGGAAGTACCTGGCCAGCTTAGCGCGTGCAGACGTGTGAATGAAAATCTGGTGTTTGATGTGAGTTTGAGCATCTCCTTGACAGTTTTACTCTGGGTCTTTGAAGCATTATGGTCAGTTTTGAGAACACAAATGTTTTATTCCATGTAAAAGCTTCACACGGTATCATCTTACACAACTGTATTAAGTTTTGCAAACTCATACTGAAGAATCATGAGCTTTTTTTTTTTAAAAAAAAAAAAACCTTTTAAAATATTTGCATTGTTTTTAGGTGAATACGTCGTGAGCTCTCCCGGTCACTGCGATGTATATTTAGTACAAAGAAGGTCTGTGTGTTGTCCAAAACAACCTCGCTAGTGATTCTGGTGAATCTTGCTGTTATTATAGTCCTTAAACACTGCAGGTACCTGAAGATGAAATTCCTGTGGTGTCGTGATGGTGGAAACTGTTTCTTTAAAATCACTTCCTGCACGTTCGGTTTCAACCACCGGCTCTGGCGTTCCATTCCCATTGCAGCTGACAATCTTAGGAAGAGGCCGAGGGGAGTAGCTCGGGTCCACACTGATGGACTGTCTTAGAAATCTGACCCTTCGAGACTCTGAGCAAGCCAGACTCTCTCCTTTAGAAAACAGACTCATATTCAGTGTGCTTACTTATTACCGCAAACTCCAGATGCAGATCTGGAAGAACCTAGAGGGCAATACTGGCCAATTTTTCCCCATTTTTAAGTAGAGGACAAATGAACAAAAATTTTAAAGTACTTTTAATGTGCATGAACAATGAATGAGTCAATATGAAATACTTGTGAGTTCCCTTCCTATGTCCAAGTCATTAGTTGGTTAGGATTTCTGTACTTTTCTCTCTCTTTAGGGGTAAAGATTATCTTTTAAGCCTACAAATTTTTTTTTTTTTTTTTTTTTTTTTTTTTTTTTTTTTTTTTGCGGTACGCCCTCTCACTGTTGTGGCCTCGCCCGTTGCGGAGCACAGGCTCCGGCCGCGCAGGCTCAGCGGCCATGGCTCACGGGCCCAGCTGCTCCGCGGCATGTGGGATCTTCCCGGACCGGGGCACGAACCCGCGTCCCCTGCATCGGCAGGCGGACTCTCAACCACTGCGCCACCAGGGAAGCCCCCCCAAATTTTTTAAGTTGTAACAATTTGATGTCCTACTTTTTCCTTCTCATTCTAGAAACTGATGTTGTGATCACGTTCCCATTTCTTTGGACAACTTATAAGACGTCAAGGTAGTTTAAAATGACCTATCATGTTGCAAAGTTTGAAACTGAGAATCCAGTGATATTTAAAGTATAGAATAAAATAATTGCTACATAAGACTTTTTAAAATTTTGGTTTTAAGTTCTTAATTAAAACAATTTGCCATAAACATGTTTTCTGTGTTACTTGGATTAAAAGCAATAATAGAATATTGAGTAACACCTGAATACCTCTACTGGACCGAGGTGAGTGAGAGCTAAACAGGAATCTGTCCGTTTTCTTTCTTTTAAAACCTAAAGGATCGCTCTTATTTAGGAGGTGTCAAAATGCTTGTACTCCCCTACTGTCAGAAAATTTCCAAGCACTTATATACATTTTTTCAAGTTTACTCAAAGTAAAATAGGGCATAGGTTATCTGAATTAACTCGTAAGGTAGTAAGCACACATTTGTGGTGCTTCTTATGAAATAGCTTTGTCATTGATTCATCAAATGTAAATTGCTAGTAACCTGAAAGGTGTGTATACTGGGTCACATAAACTCAACCAACTAAACTGCACAAAAGAAAGGTGGCTTTTGAGTTCTAAGGCTGTGCTGGGCGTAAACTTTATCAACGGAAGGTTAGTACTTGATAAACTGTTCAAACGTATTATTGGCAAACAGGGAGAGAGGCCAAGCATATGTTACAACATAAAAACAACTTTCCTTGTTGACTGTTTCAGTAGAAAATAGTTTAGTGGATAGTTTTACATATCACTGGACTAGATAAAAAATGGTGCTAATATTTACACAGTCTGATTCTGTAGTTGGTTTGGGATCAAACTGTCAATGCCTGACTTAGAAGGTTCTTACTGTAGTCTTGTGATCAGCTAAATAATAGTTAAAAAGTGATCCTAAAAGTGTGACCTTGTATTTGAAATGGATTTTGTACAATAGGATGAATAGGGAGCTCTTCAGTGTAAGGTGTGTGCTTAATACCGAATTCTGTGCAAGGAGTGACGTCTAGGTTTTGGGTCCAGATTTGCTCCCTTCCAGCCTGCTAGTGTGAGAGGGGGAAAAGCCGCTCGTCTATTACTTATTTCCATTTTGAAAGTCAGGACACCTGAGTGAAGACAGTAGAGGCCTCTCTTTGGATTTCTTTTATAATTAGCAAAACTGTATTTAAGAACAGTCTCCCTGTGTTGTTATTGTATATTTATTTTGAGCACTGCATTCACTTTAACATTCTGAAGAACAAAGGCTGGGCACTTACCATCACAAGGCTCAGGCAGTGGGAATTTGGGGCTGTGTTTTCTAAGAACTATGTATTGCTTTTCGCTTGTATTGAATATTGCAGTTACTTGGAAAAATGTGAATAAAGTTCATTAATGTTACAGGCTGAAACTTCTGTTTGTGGAAAATAATTCTGATTAGCACATAAATGGTTGAAGAAAGTGGATGATCACATTGACCCCTAAATGGATTTTTCATTAGATAAATGTCTAACAAGATATGTTAGATACATCCAGGAAAAGACGCGTTCTGTGTATATACTTTGCGTTAAATGCCACATTTCCCCTCACACCTTCTTATTGTTTTGAAAATTACAGAAGCGATAGGGCATGGGTAGAGTAACTCAAAGAGAAGTTATAGAGTAAAGAGTACAGGTTCCTTTCAGTACCACCCCCTCACCAAAATTCTACACCCCTCCTTAGAGGAAACCAGTGTTAAGTTTGGTGTGTAAACTTCCAGACCTTTTTTCCAGGCACTTGGAGGTACATACACACTTTTTCTTTTGTTTTTGCACAAACATGGAATAACGTTATACACATTCTGTAACTCCCCAGCTTTCCCCCACCTGCTCCCTTGTTCACACGTCCCCCCGTGGAGCTGAACCTAATTAGCCTACCTAGCACCCTTGAGACTGGCCTGACTGGCAGACCCCTCCTCGGGTCTCAGACTGACCGCAAGATGGTGTACACATGGGGCAGGTCCAAATAGCACTGCCAGAGCTTTGAAGAGTGAACTGACATTGGAACCAACACCCGCAGGACTTGGGGCCTGAGCCTAAATAGGTTGATTAGTTGCTAAAACAAAAATACCAGCATTCTCCACAGGACTTGGTCATGTCTCATCATGTAATATTCAGATGCCTAAGGTTCAATCCCAAGTTACTCAGCATGTGAAAACCATGAAAATGGCTCTCATGGAAAAAAAATCAGTAGCTGCCCTCATAGGCTTGACGGAAGCTGTTATTGAAAAGTTCAAACGAGAAATCACCCTCTTGAAATAAGCATTGAAATAGAAATTATATCAGTAGAGAAACAGATGGTAGGAGAACTAAATGAAAATATTAGAACTGGAAAATGCTGCAACTGAAATTTTAAAAACCTTACTGGATAGACTCAATAGAAGATTGAAGATGACAAAATAAAGATAATCAATACAAATCATCCAGTC